GCGCGGCCCCCGGAATGTCGGCCGAACCGATAAAAACCGAATCAAATATCCTACCGTTCGGCCCCCGGCCCCGACTAATGAAANACGACGGGTGGAGGGGTGGATACCGCGGAAGAGGACGTGAAAACAATTTGAATCGCGGCCGGTTGCATTCATTTGGGGATCGGTTTTGGAACGGTTTCTCCCCGTGATCCTTATTTAAGTTAGCCTCACGTTCGGCCGCAGCACGTGATCCAGCTGCTCGGGAGGAATCCCACGTATCCGTGACGTCACTCCTATCTCGACTCGGTGAGCGCAAGCTGCACGAGCCGATACCGGGGGCTTGAGCGCGAGACTTCTGTCTAGTCGGCTGACTTATTAGGAATTCCGCTCGTCCCACGTGCAGAAATTCGGCTGCGCCACGTGCATTCGCCGGACGCACGTTCTTATAATTTGCGAGACGTCGGTCGACTGCTTAAACCCCACACACACACACACATCCTTCTCTCTTTCCACACCCCGTCTTCTCGATCGAAAGTAGACACGGACGCTCGATTAATCCTCTTCCTCTGCTACGAGCGTGCAGATAGATTCGGAGAGGATCCAATCTCTCCAAAAATTCTTTTACGTATTCCTCGATCGAACTCTTCGAAAAATACAGACGATCCCTTCGATTTCCTTTTCTCAATCCACCGTGACATCGATCCCATAACGTTACGCGATTGCCAGTCGATCATTTCTATTAATCATTATCGTTTAATCGATACTCTCGCGGCATATCAATGAGAGAAAAATATACGCCTTGTATTCTTCGATTTTCTCCCTCTTTCCTCTCTTTCTCCTTCTCTAAATCACATCGGATAATAAGTCTCCCGCCAATATACGCAAGGAGTGATAATTCACGATAATACCGTAGAATATTCGCATAATCCTTTCTTTACATCGGTCGATCAAAGGTGTAAGATTTGTGGCGAGGCGTTTAGGCTAACGCGCATGCTATACACTCCTTTCCTCCCTTTCTTCCCAATTCCCTAAATCTCGCGCCATTTTCGACTGATTTTTTCTTATTTATCCGCTTTTCTAAAAAAAAAAAAGGAAAAGAAAATTAACTAAACAACTTTCGCTTCGATATCCGCACTTCGATATTCCTTTAAGTAAGTAAGCAACTCTTCTGTGGCTTCTCTCTCCGCCTCGTCTTCATCTCTCGCGAAGAAATCTCTTGCTCTCAGAAGAGCCTCTCATCTCTCGGGGAAGAGGAAAAGAAAAAGATGAAAGAAAAGAAAAAGGAGAGAAACGACGGTAAGAAAAGAAAACAAAGGTGGAGAAGAGGGGGAGAAAAAAAAAAAAAAGGAGAAAAGCGAGGGAAAAAAAAAAAAACAAAGGTGGAGAAGAGGGGGAGAAAAAAAAAAAAAAGGAAAGCGGAGACGAGTCGCGGTACGCTCTTGTAACACGGTGAGGAGAGAAGAATGCTCGGTATAGATCACCGTTCCGGAGCGTAACGCGAGGCCATTGGTTACGGTAGGCGAGAGCGTGTAGAAACGCGCATTGTCGACGTCTCATAAGACCTCTGGGAGGAAATCGCGCGCGACAATAGAAGGAGAGTGAGGGGCCCCCGCGTCGCCGATAGAGGGCCAGACGAAGACCCCCCTTTCTTTCTCTCTCTCTCTCTCTCTCTCTCTCTCTGAAGCTCCGTCCGTCGACGAGAAGAAGAAAAATCTCGAAGCCTGGCATCCCGACGTTTCAACCTCGGGAAAAATCCTCTCCTCTCGTCATTGTTTCGCCCGTTTCTCTTCCTTTCAGCCCGTTATTTATCGGTTGAATATTCAGCCAACACGGGCGCACAAAACCTTGGGGGACGGACAATCGGGGGAGCGACAACGGGGACGGTTCGCAGCGCTGTGAAACCGGGCAAGATGGGCGAGGACGCGAGGTTTCTCGCGCAGACCGGCAGCGTTTCGCGTGGATATTGTCGGGGAACGAGGTTGGACGTTGGACGAGAGGCGACCGTCAACGCGAGTACACAATGCCGCAAGAACGGCGGAATGCATTAATATTAATAGTGGCACCGCGAACGAGGCCTCCTGTAACGGTGGCCGTGGAGTCAGGTGACGTCCGATCTCCTCCGCTCCAACCAAATCTCTTCCAATCCTCCGTGTTTCGCGAGAACACCATTTCTTGCGTTTTTTTTCTTCTTTCCTTCCTTTTGTCCAGCTTCCTTCGATCGTTGACGAGTTTCCATGTAAATGAGAAGTTTATTTCCTCTATAGTTCTCTAATTGGACTCCGACTGGTTTAAATTTTCGTAATATCGCGCGCAACTAGAAAACTTGTATGGATATGGAATATATTTTGATTACGTCACGAGTTAAGAAGTTTTAACGTAACATCGTTTTAATAATATATATATATACGAAGTAAGTGCTCGTAAAAGTATATTTAGATAGGTTGAAATATATATATGTACGAGTGAAATAAGTGGACGTTAATAAGCGGCTATAAAAATTTCACGGAACGACGATTATTTCTTGGCCTCCTAGCGCAAAGATTAAAATATCCGGGTGAAATGATTGGACCGTTCGCAGGTACTAATGGCGGAGCAGGTACGGTTTAACAGTTAAATCGCGGAGGCTCATGTAACGCGGCGGAACGATGAGTAACCGTGAAGGTGCGATGATAAAGAAAAAGTATAGCTACGTGGGCGTAAACGGGTGGCGACCTCGGAGGCGTAACCAATGCTCCAGGCGACAACCTTATCGAATGGCAAGTATGCCTCTGCTCGGCCTGCCAACCTAACAACCGAACCCTTTGGTTAAAAATTGCGTTCCTACAAAGAAAAAAAAAAGAAAAGGAAAAAAAAAAATCGAAACGTCTAAACGTCGAGCGAGCTCGATTAAATCGTTGTTCGTCATGGAAATTTCAAATTTCGAAATGGAATTTTCAACGATAATTTTCAAAATTGAACGAAGGAATTTAAGTTTAATGGTACGAGCGTTAAGACAATGATCTACGAGGGAAGAGCAGAGGTCGGAAATTTTGACGAAATCTCTGCCAAGATAACGCAAAAACCGCGTCGTCCCTGCGCGTCCTCGCTGCTGGCCGTACAACAATATGGGCTGATGAATTATTGTCAACATCAGAATGGGTTAGGACTTTCCGCAGAAATTTTATATATATATATATATATATCTATCTGCAAGGCGGCATCTTCATAACGCGAGCAAAGGATTTTGATAGTCTTGTAGGTTCAGTCCTAAAGAACGCGGCGAGATGGAGAACGAGATACAGCGTGGCAGACGCTTTGTTACGCACTGTGGCGCATAGGTGTATGAGTCACGGTTGTATTAATTAAACAAACCCCGGGGACGCGTAATAATTCTTCGTTAAAGACGCACGATTTTTTTCTAAGTAAATGCGCGATTTATTCGTCCCTTCGAAAATTATCTTTTCTTTGAAAGATCGCGATAATAAACGAAATAACAATGTTCCAGAAACACGAAAGATTCGAGAAGAAATTCTATAGAGATCGAATAAGAAATTGAAAATTATCCATAATTAAATTTTTCAAGGACAGAAATTCGTGTCGCGAGCTCGAGAGGGTACGTTAACACGAGGGTTATGCTAATTTCGCGAGTTAAACGCGTATGGGGCTAGGATCAGGCTTACATAAGGGTTATCGTGTAATTTAAATTAATGATGGAACATCTCGTTATAATCTCTCGCGGACGAATCGTAGAAATTTAATCTCGCTACACCATTACGATTGTATCGACGATCGTAACGAAATCGTAGAATGCAGGGGGTCCACGAGGATCGAACCGCAAA